TATTGTATGTGTTCGTTTTTAGGAAGCCAGATTCCTTTTTTGACAGTAGTCCCACATCTCTTGCTATGTCTATTTTGTAATTATAGTCACAGATTAATTTCTTAAAGGGGGAACTATCCAGTCTCTCATATGTATCTCTGTCATTCAAAAGGCGTTTGGCTTCCATAACGTACATCCTTTCTGTCATTAGAACCACATTCCCCCCTTTGTCGCTATTTTTTATTATCAATCCAGGTATGTCTTTCAGTTCTTTTAATGCTTTTCTTTCCATGGGGTTTAAATGATCCTGTCCTTTTATATCCCAGGTGGTTACCTTTAAGTCTTTTTCGACCAAGTCCTTAAAGAGGGCAATATGTCTATTGTTTATCAATGTTGGCATTGTTTTTGATTTTAATTTTAGGGGGGTATTCCTCATAAGGGGTTCTTCCAGGGGCTCTCCCTGATTTTCTTCAAGGAGGGCCTCTAGATTCCTTAATGCTTCAATATCAATCTCTTCTATATTTTTATTTTTATTATTTTTATTTGTTTCTAAGGAGGGGGGATTGATTACTTTTCGTTCATGTATATATCTCAGGTATACTCTCCTAAGGAATAGATTTAAATCTTTATAAATTGTGAATTCATCCATTCCATCCGTAGGTGAAAAGGATAAGCCCCGTTTCAATAGATCTATGTGATGTCTATTTAGTTTGTGATCCGTTAAATTAATCACATTCAGGGAGGTTTCTTCTCCCCGAGTGTGATCTAAAGTTATGTGTGTCGATTTGTTTTTCTCGTCTGTATTTTGTATTCTCGGCTACTGTCTTGTTTTTTTGGATTTCCCTCTCCTTTTTCTTCTATTTTTTCTTGTCCTTTGAATTTTGTCAAACCCTCCTCCTCCATATCTAAAAAACTCACTGTTTTACGTGTATTTTCTCCTTCACTTTCACTTGTTTCTTCCATATAGCGATCTTTGCTTTTAGATTGTCTTTTTCTAGATTGACTCCTTCCTCTTTTTGTTGACATATCGAAGATATCCCCCCGATCCCAATCGTCAAGATCTCTTTGATATTTGGTTTGTTTAACCTGTCTTTGGATCCTCTCTATTTCTTTGCGAAGGAAATCATTTTGTTTTTTGAAATAGTCATGTTCCTTTAGGGGTTCTAAATTTGTGGAACTTTCCTCTATTTGTTGTTGTAATTCCTGCATCTGTGTTTTCTCTTCCTCAATTATAAGTTTCATGACATTCAGACCGTGATCAACGCATTCTTTTTGCCATTTTTGTAAGAAACGGTCGTTTTGCAGATGTTCAGCAGGGATGACTCTTTCCCTCTTTCTTTAGAAGTTTTGAAGATAGTAATTGCCGTAATTTGTGTGAGTGCATAGTATGTATGGAAGAATGCATATATGAATGTTATGGACAACGTTGTTTTTTATGTAGATTTTGCTGTAGAAATGGAGTAACAGGTGCGAAATATGAGATTTTGTAATAAATAAAGTTTATACTTTTACAAGAAAAAGGTCTCGGTCTGTTTAGTAACCATCTCTCACAGTGTCTTCTCCTTTGAGAACACTGTTACCATTTTTTTGTGCTCAAGAAACTGGTGTACCTGCAGCCTTGCCACTGTGGTAGATGCACCTCTGGCTTGTGAAAGTCTAAATGAAATGACCCTAGTGTTTAACTTAGAGGAGATCTGGAGTGTGACTGAAAAACATTATACAAGCAGAATGGGTAAAATTGAGCTGTAACTGAGATTAGCACATGCTGTAATGTGCAATGACACAATTTTCTATATTTTACCCTTGAGTGGGAATAAACATTTACTGTTACAAAAACAAATTACCAGCACACCTACCTCTTCAGTCTGTTGATTTACACACTTATCTGTGTCAGTGTGCTAAAACTGAGTCCAGGATTAACTCTGATTCAAAACAGACACGTACTGGGCATTACCAGAGCGTGTACATCAGCTTGTATACCTGTATATCCTGCTTACACTTATGCTGTCAGTCACAGCTCATGGGAAGCAAGCAAGAGGGAAATCAATAGCATTTGAATTGTGTAGTGTCAATTAAACTTGTCAGTGGCTAGGAAGGCTGAGTGTGGGGGAAAACGGGAGCTCAATGAGAATCCAAAGTTAGTTCAATATAATTGTGAAAGTACATGTGATATATTGGTGCACTTTATTTCTGACAGTTTACAACCACTTTAACTAGTTAAACTGTATCCAAGCCCCAGAACAGAAAATACATATATTGCAACTTAATGGTCAGTTGTGGCCGTATATATTTGTTTAGGCTTTTTACTCTATTTTCACCTGGTAACCATGCCAGTAACAATTCCTCTGGAGTGTCAACACACACTAACTGTCCTGCATCTAAAGAAGAGCAGCACTGACTACCTAGGGAAGAAAATGTGCTAGGTAACCTTTGCAAGTTTGAGAAGTCTGCTTGAGATAAGATTGGCTTTCTGGCAGCTTTCAGTGGTAAATTTAACAGACCAAATGGAAACAAATAGGAGTGGTTTATTGTTGGGGCTTATATACACCTTTGGATACTTAAAGCTTATTCGAACCCTAAGTTTAAATCATTTAAATACATTCAAGGTACATCAAAACAAAATGTGCACAAAGTCTTCTAGTTTGTTTTCTTTAGAAAACAGCCACAGCATGAGTAGACACGCCTGTCTGCTGCCAGCATGCTGTAGAGAATGACCCTTGCTCTGTGTGTGGAACCAGTGCTGTCTATGCATAGGTCCAACACGCAAAATGCTGAGTCTCACTCATAGCTGTGTAATCAGAAAAGCCTATGCTCCCTGCTAATTGGAGAGCTATAGCTCTGATTAATCAGGGGTATGGCTTACCTTTGCAGAGAGGTCATTGCTTCCACATAAAGAGCAAGGGTCCTTTTCTACAGCATTCTGGCAGGGGACAGGCTTTTCTACTCGAGTTATAAGACTTACCACATATTTTGTTTCAATGAACCTGGAACATATTTAGCCTATTCAAACTGAAAGTTAATTTGACCTTTAAAGTCATCTTTAAAGCTAGTGAACCTGCTTTACTACAAAGCCGAAAGTAGTATTTAATTTTTCAAAGTATGGAAGAGGACATTAAAATGTCAAACCTATCTTGATTTCTTTCCCTTTTTGAAAATCCCCAATTAATCTATGTATAGCATTTTGGCTTTATTAGTGCAGCAGTGAAACAAACCCCTGGTGTTCACTTTAAGCCAGAATTTAGGAAATAGCTGCACTGATTTCTAATCAAGTATTCATACCCGAGAGGCTTTAAGTTTTGTCTTCAGTTTAATTACAACAGTGATGAGCAAGCGGTGAGAGTGAAGAGAAGCTATCTGCATACAAGAATACATGACCCTTTAAACAACAGAGTGCTAAGGTTATCTGGAAGAACATTGTGCCATTGACAAGACTGAGGTTGTATATTTTAATAAAACATCCTTTTTCAACTGTACAAAAATTAAGACTTGGCATTTATTATTGTGATATAAGTCTATCTAAATTTCTTTTAAGGCATACAAATGTACTCACCAATGTGGCGAAAAGATGGTAAAGTATAAAGTAAATGGCAACCACGGGAGCCCACACAGCTCCTACAGCATTAAGAGTTTGATCCATTACATCCACCCATCCCTCTTGAGTCAAAATCTGGAACATTGACATGAATGCCTGTAGGGAAGAATGAGTAACATGAAAACAATCTGCATATCACAAAAGCCATGGATCTATTTTGGAATGAATTAATTTAAGATTTTTTCAATTGTTACTTCAAGCAGAAGGATATCAATTCCAACACATAGGCCTGGGTGTAAATGGGAACTGCTATTGTACTATATTGAAGGCCAAAAAGTCAGGGAAGTTGGTCCCCAGTAACTAAATAGAACATTTTTATTAGGGAGCGAGGAATGTTTTATGGCTAATAAAAGGTATCAAATAGACATCTTCAAGTTGCTGTTCTTACACAGGATTTTTTCAAGTTATCTTCCACTCCATTAGTACTAATTATTATTATTATGCTTTTACTGGCTTTGGCCCCCTAAAAACCAAAAAGTGATCTGCTGTGTGTTTAGAAAGACAGTTTAGGACACAGGAGACATGATTACTGTATCACTTGGATTGCTAAACATCTATCAGGAGCTAACAAAGCTTTAGCCATGCCACTCAACCAGAAAGTCCCTACAGAACATTATGCACAATAACATGTAATGGCATTAGTGACATATTTAATACAATTTACAAAAGTACAGACATGAGAGCGCGGCACAGCTAGTGGTATATAGAATACCAAAGTCACCTGCCTAATACAGCAAGTTACATTTATGGACAGGCTCAAAAGAAAAATCCTTTTACAGACTGTTTTGTTATATGTCCCTTTTTGTCTAAAATAGTTTTCTTAATAAAGTAATAGTTTCGGATTCAACATGTGACACCAAAAGCACTTTCAAAAGTGACAGGAAGTAGCTCTAAGAGATTTGAGTGCATGCTTCCCAGTGTATGATCAAACAAAATACTAATTTTAGTTAAAATGGTAAACCTCCATCAGCTTATGCTAAAATGAATCTGAAAGGCAACCATCAAACTGACAGAACCAACAGCTGCAAAAATACAATCTTGAGATTTATGTTAATATGGATTTCTGAATTAATTAGCAGTACCTTATAGAACAGATTGTAAACTTTACTTAACCCTTAATGCATAACATAACGGATACTGTACCTGTGACATTCAGGACTATGTAACATAGAGCACAGCATATTGGGTACAGCAGTCAGAAGTACGCAATGTAGAGACCAGCATACAGAGTACAGCAGTCAGGATTTTGTACCGAACAGGCCAGTATAGAGAGTGTGTTGGTCCAGAGTATGTTATGTACAGCCCAATATACAGACTAGAGTACAGTGGTCAGAACTATGTAACATACAGTTTAGCATATAGCGTGCATTGTCTAGGCGTTTATAATGATTAGCCCAAAGTACAGACTGCAGTAGTCAGAATTATGCAATTTACAGCCCGGCATGCATTGTTGGGGTATCTAACAGATAACATGGCATACATGGTGCAGAGAGAAACGTCTGGCTTTCTGTATGGGAGAGACAGCAATGAAGTTGAAGTGTTCCAGCATCACAAAGAGCCATGTTCTACAGTAGGGTCCCCAGACTGCTGACAAATATTAGTGGAGTACACATTAAAAAAAGTTGAAATGCTGAATAGGTGGGTTGTGCCCCTGTATTCATCTCTGAGATTAATGTTCAATTTTGGCTGGAGTATACCTTTAGAATGCAGCTGTTATTCAAAGACTGTAGAGAAAGCTACAAAGACTAATATTGATTTACTAATATTGATTTGCTGTTATGATAACAGTTATTCATAATTTATTTTTGAAAAAAATGTAGTCAACATAACAGTGTGGGTTCATTAATCAAACTCTCTACAGAAGAGTAGATCATTCTCACCAAGCTATACTCACCTTAACATGTTCAGCCCCAATAACATATAAATGAGGTTATAGATTAAACACAATAGATTATATTGATGGAAAAGGTGTATAAATGTATTTTATATAGTATCACAAGGTGTGTGTACAAAAGCTGGAATAAATGAAAGTGTTTCTTTAAAGTATGTTGTGATTATGTTATAACGTACCAGGACCACAATAAACAGTTCTATAAAATTTACTTATTTTTAAAGTATGATTGCTGAAAGGGATTGTCAGAGAGTGACATCAAAAATGACAGTTTCAATCACCAAACTGAATAGATTTGCAAAGTGGTGGGTGAGATTGACAAGGACAAGAAGATCATTTTACAATACATACACATCACACTCAAGAAGCTGTGCAGTTGACTGGAGAGATGAACTAATAGCCAAAATGATGGTTAAAACCATTTAGATGAAATGTACACCTATGGAACATTACATCAAAATTGACAAAACAAGATTTATTGTTACCACTATAATCAATAACAAAATAATAACATTTCATGCACATTTGGGCAAAGAGCTGGAAATGCATTGCAGTACAAATAGCTCCAGAGGGAGGTATGTTAGTCTGACAGAAACACCAATAAAACTGTTTTTGGGAGTGTACAGAGGAAGGCACAGCACGTCATCCAGTGTGGCGTGGTTGTGCATCACTCATAGTCCAAATTTGCAAAACCTACTGGCTTACATGTATCAGTTTTCCAAACCTTTACAGTATTAGGCAGGGAGCAACCTGGTGAATAAAACTTTATAAACAGATTTATGCAAAATGTTTGCATGGTGATGTGTCCTATTTTTGCAGAGTAGGGTTTTCACTACAGTACTGGGTGAAATGTGACAATAATACTTCATCTCTCTTTGAATTGCATCTAAACCCAAAATCAAAAACATTATATATTGCAGCTTTTGAGTTCTAAGATGTTGTGGCTAAATTCGTTTTCTTTTTTTCAGGCTTTTTTTCCTTTTTATCACCTGGCGATCCTTCCTTCCAGCAATAGACATTCTGTCCTAGAGAGAACACACTCTAGTCACTGGACTCTTATCTATGAAGGAGAAGCCCTGTCACACCAAAACAGGAAGTGTGTTAGGAATACAGAACACCTACCTCCCAGTCTACATAGCATAAGGGGAAGTGATTTGAGTGTATTGAAGTCAACAGCAGTGAATTGGGCAGAGCTGGTGACACTGCTTGGAATTTCAGTACAGCACAGGAAGTTACTAGCACAATGGACTTCTAGTGCAAGATCAGGAGCAGGAAAGTATGGCAAAATGAAGGCCTGAATACATACAAGCGATCGGGTGGCTATAGAGCCACCTGATCGCTTGTATGGTGTGGGAAGGGTGCAGAACGTGTGTGCCCCCCTCCATCCGCTGCTGCCGGCTATCCCAGACTCCGCTGTCTTCCGCGTGAGCCCGGGACCAGCAGGGCAGGTCTCTGTGGCTGGATCAGAGGGGAAATCAGCACATTCCCCTGGCTGATTACGCTCTGATCACTGAATGTAGAAATGTGTATTACATCGGAATCTAAAAGCCCCCCTAAAAGCCCCCTTTAGAATAATGGGGGGCCCCGAGACACCCAGTCCCCTTACATGAATGAGTATGGAGTACATAGTACCTCTTGTTACTCAACTTCAGCTTCACAAATAGAGCAACTAGTAAATAAACACACACACACACACACACCATGGGTGTGGGTGTTCCTAAATGTTATGCAAGAATGGTCTCTTGGATCCTTGGATCCATCTTACTACACATGTTGGCTGTGAAAGAAAACAGAGTGGAGTAACTGACAGGTACATGGTAACCAACTGACCGGTCAGCAAGTGTTATATCATCTCCTTCAAAATTTAGATACTTTACCATGTACTAAAGTACCAGCCTATAAATACCCCCTCCCCCCCTTTACCAGGCCATTTTAAAGTTTCCAATACTGTAATAGTTTGCTTAATCATGCAACCCTGTATCCAGATACATTTTTTTTCTTAGATTTTCTTTTAGTGCCATTTGGAAGTGATTACATTTACTTTTCATTTCTAATATACAGTGGTTTCATCTATAATATACTGTATTTCTAATACACAAAGTTTGATTTTTTTTTCCTGGCATAAAACTTTATGTTGGCATGATATAGAAATATTTTACACAGCGCTAAATATTCCAAGTCCCAACAATGTGTAAAAAATTATGTGCAAAAACCAATACATAAAGGAGGTGACTTTGATAAGCACCAAGTACTCACACAGGTGAAAATATATAAAGGACTAAAGGACTGTATTTTTGGCACCAAAAATTTGGCCTTCAGCTGGCAGTGGCTTTATCCTCAGTATCAAGAACATCCAAGTTATGGATTGAGGCTCTGGAAGAGGATATGAAGAGGGGAGTGAGTAGACACAGACTTCTGGATAAGATTCAGGCTATTAAGCTGACAGCAGAATTATCTACAGAAGCCACAGATGATCTTATTCAATCTTTGGCAAGAGGTATGGTATCCTCTGTAGTAGCCCATCGAGCGCTGTGGATCAGATCGTGGGTGGCCGACTCTTCTTCAAAGAACAGCCTGTGTTCCCAAGGTAACATGCTATTGAGCCTGGAATTGGATAGCTACATAAAAAAATCTATCAATACTAGGAAGGCTATGTTACCACAGGAAAGGAGGAACAGAAGAAGCTATAGGGAGGGAAGACCTCGCCAAAGCAATATTACTCACTGTGCTGTGATTGGGGTCAGGTGCATTGCTTTACCCAATCAGGGCTTCACAAGGCACTGTGAGGTGCGTAGTGCCTTGTTGGATGCTCGGCGGCCGAACAGCCCACTGAATGCCCTGATAGTTTGTGTGTTCACCGAACACATGAACTGCCGATGTTCGAGTTGAACTGTTATTTGACTCGAACATCGAGACCATCCCTATTCCTAGCCCCCAAATCGAAGGGTGGTTGGAATCCAGACCTGGATTTATACCAACTCAACAGATTCATACAAGTCAGGAAATTCAGGATGGAGTCCCTCCACACTATAATACAAGTGGTACGTCCAGATATGTGGATGGTATCCAGAGATCTGAGTGATGCGTACTTCCATGTTCCCATTGCCCTAGATCAGCAAAAGTTCCTAAGGTTTTCTGTCGGCCACAGGCACTTTCAGTTCAGAGCGATGCCATTCGAGCTCAGTACTGCTCCCAGGACTTTCTC